TCCCTGCTATGAAGGTAAGGAGTGTGGGAGCCGGGAATGGGGCTTACCTCCCTTGCTGCGGTCTCATTTTACAGCTCCTATGCTTTCCCTTTATTTCCAAAACCATCCACAATAACCCTCACTACTGATAGTATTATTCATTTTTTGGTAATGTATGACTGCCTTGTGGCACAGCTGGAATAGTGGTGGGGTTTTGGATGAAGTTGGGTCCTCTGACTTACTGCGTGACTGTAAAGTCATGCACTTTACTAGAGGAATAATACGTTTGTGATCTGTTTTTGACACAGCAGCGCTCTCTTCTCTTATGTGAATGATCAGTAGGTATTGATCTGAGTTGGCATCTCATGCTTCGCTATGGCACAGAGTAAAAATCCTGACTTACGTTGCAGTCAGTAACCAAGTGAAAACACTTTTGATTTTGTGTTGTGATTTATCAGAGGACTAGAGGGGGAAAATAAGGGCTGCTTAACATCTTGCTCACTTTGGGGAACTTCTGCAGCAGTTTATATTAAACTGCTGCTGTGTTTCAGGTGCCACAAGGTTTCTTGGTCCTTGTTTGGATCCTCTGAATGTCTGGGATTGGGGTGCATGGAGAGGGAGGGCTCCAGCTCTGAGCAGGGGTGACTGTGCCTGTTGGTTCCCAAGTGTCAGCACTTTAATTTTCCAGCTCTCTTGTACATGTGAGACTCTTGTATCATCCTTCCTTTCCTAAAGACTTCAGAAGTCTCCTCTACCAAAAGCAATTAGCTAAAGCAGGGGCATGAATGTGTGGTCAGGAAGAAGACAGGATATCTCCTAAGTTTTCTTGTCCTTCAGAGAAGCATCTGGGGGAAAGCAAAGCCTTGGTTTCTCCCGTGTCCTGGACATTGTCCTTCCCCTTTCCCCTGCAGGAGCCTGAGAAGTGTGGTCGTTTGGAGGCCAAGACACAGCAGGGTTTGTTGTGGGCAAAACCTCCGAATTTATTTATTTATTTATTCACTTTTACTAATTCCCCCCTCCTCATCCCCATCTAGATTTGCCAGCAGCCAAGAGCAGGCTGGCTGCTGACATTAGTAAGTGGGAGAGGGATAGGGACAAGCATGTCCCAGCAAGTTTCTCTGCTGCTGGCTGGCGGTCATGTCCCAGTGAAGAGCTGGGTCTGCTCCATGCCCCCTTTTTCTCCTGAGGTGGCTCCTCCAGGCTTTACTCTGGGACCTGCTGCCACAAACCCACACAGCTTCAGGGCTGTGCATTTCCCAGCCTTGACACTGGGCATTATTGGAAACGTAAGGGATTTTGTGTCTCATCTGCAGCAGGATACTTTCTGGTTAACACAGACACATGGGGATGCTGCTTGGGGCTCCCTCTGAGCTTGTGCCACTGCCCTTGCACCACCTTAAAAGCATCTTGCCTGAAGCTGCGGCGGGGAGGTTGTTTCTGGAAGAGATGAGCCGCTTGTGTTCTAGTGTGCGTCATGTCTTCAGAGTAAAAGTGCTGCTAATCTGACAGGATATTTGCCAGGAATTGCTAGAAAATAGAAATGTGTGGGCCTAGTACACGCAGAGCAGCCAGTGGAAAGTTGGCAGGGCTGGTGCAGTGCGATGCTGGCTTCATTTCACTCCATGCTAGAGTGAAAATGGGAGG